GCCCGCGTGGCAAGCGAGCATTCTACCACTGAACCACCGGTGCTTGTCTACTAATCCTTCACGGTCGTTTCATAATCGTGTTATTTTTTTTAATATTTTTTTTATAAGTGTTTATTTACATTTCTTCAAGTATTTCACACTACAAGATGTGAAAAGAACAGATCGATATTTTAATCGCTTATGAGATTGTTTAGTTATATAAAATAACAATTTTGTACCATTATTTCACGGACTTGTGAATAAGAGGTGTTAGAGTTTGACTTTATTTAAATATACATTTGTTTAAATTAAATATCAAATCAATTGTCAATACGTCTGTACATTTACATACTCAACGCGCGCACTGATGGTTCAATGGTAGAATGCTCGCCTCCCACGCGGGTGATTCGGGTTCGATTCCCGGTCAGTGCAGGAATTATGAAAACTATTTTTTTTAGTAATCTGAACAATTTATTATTCAAATATTTATTTACATTGTATTGCACTGTAAAATAAAGAATAAGAAAAGGAATTATAATAATTAAAAAAGAAAGAAGTATTCCAAATTCATGCTTATTTCAAACACAAAAGTATTACTAAGAATCAAAAGATTATTGAGCATTATTCATGGCTTGTTCAAGGTCTTTTAAATTTAATTTTAATGATTCAACTTCATCATGACGTCCAGCTATCTGAGCTTGTCGAATATATTCAGTTACTTGATAAACTTGTTGGATAAGTGGATTTAATTCTTGATTTTGTGCTAATAAATTACGATCAACCATTGGTCTCCAACCTGAAACTTCAGCTTTTACTTTTGTTGAAGAATCTGTTGGTATCATTCTCGAAGCTAATTCTAATTTTGCTACACGTTCTGATTCGTTTCTTTCTTCAACTATTCGTATTCGTTCATCACGTGCTCGTTTTATTTCATCTTCATTTGGTAATTTTCGTGTTGATATAGCATAATTTTGTAATAGATGTACTGCATACATTCGTATATTTCGGCAAAGTGCTGAGTACCGAATTTGGGATGATGTATCATCTTCATCAATATTTGGACATGATTCACCTAATTTTGAAATGTATTTACTAATAGATAAAATAAATAATAGTGATAAAAAAGTATTAAAAAAAAGGAAGATTTGTAACGTACGATGTAGATTCAATTTTTTCATAACAAGCAGTTAATTGTCGATATGCTCGTTGTCCATCGATTAATTGATGTTTTGTATCGCCATTTCTACAGATATGAATTACTAAATTATTTTAAATATGTCAAATATTCTTACAAAAGGGATTCAATAATAGCTGAATATTTTGGATGAATAGTAGTCAGTTCTTTTTGTGCTTCAACTATTTTCTAATAGAATAAAAACGAGTCATTAGAAGATAAGTACATGATAAAATAAGAAATAATTTACTTCATAATAAAGAAAAACTTCATCTTTATCAATCTTTGTAAAACACAATTGATCGTAACGTCGTTGTAGTACTTGCCGACAAGATAAGCAAATACGAAGATAATCCTCATGATTTACTCCATTTTTACCATTCATATTTGAATCATCAGCACCTGCCTGAGATGATGCTAAACTTGTTAAACTATTTGATCGTTGAAGTGTTACACCATTTGTTGTTACTTTATTTGATAATGATGATACTTCTGGTTCAGATAAATATCCTAAAATGACAAAAGTAATATAATATCTTTGATAACGTTGATCTCTAGATTTGTTCTTACGCGCCATCGAAAATGGAAGAAATTGTGAACATTCATCACAAATAACAAATCCATCAAGACGGCAATGATGTTTACGTCGAGATATTCCAAATGGTTTAGCACAAGATGGACATAAAGATACTTTTGAATCATCTAACCATTCAACAATACTTTGTTCATATTCTATAAATAAGAAAAAAACAAAATTTTCTTTTATTCAATCATATAAATCTATCTTAGAATTATGTACTTCGACGTTCTTTTGGATTACTATTTTTTGGTGCATTCTCATCATTGGTTGTCAATTTTCCAAGTCGAAGTAAAAGACGAAAAGTGTCACGTGATATTTGTTCATTATTTTGTTTTCGTAATTTTTTAAAATGTTCATTATGCGAACCAATAAATCCAATTTGTTGTTGTTGTTTTAATGAAGTATCATTTTGATCAAATGAAAAATATTGTGCATAAATATTTGTTTGTTCAGTAGGAGCTGCTGTAAAATTATCTTGTACACTTTTTATTTTTTGTTTTGCTAATGAAAATAAACCTTTAACAGCTGATGATGGTTGTTTCATATGAACATCTTGAAAATGTACATGTAACATTTCCATTGTTGACATGTCGAGATGACATTGTGGACATATAAAACCTTCTCGTACATCATTTATTGCTGGGAACATATCGTTTGCTCTACAGTATCAGTTACGTTATATGTTTATACTTATCTGTGATTTGTAACACTAGCGACATCTTGTTTAATAAATATACAAAAATAATTCTTGTTTAAATATATATAAATGTAAAATTATGGAAATATTTTATATTATTTAAAATTTTATATCAAAAATAAATAAACTTGTACAATAACCCAATCGTATTTCATTAGTTACCTTATATGTTTATTTTTTTTTTCTTTAATCATTTTCCTTTATGTTGCTTAGTCATGGAAGATCTTGGTATATATTTATTTTTTTGTTTAAAGATAAGTTAATAGTTGTTATTCTTTTAATTAGATCAGCTTTTGGTTGAGTTACAAAATGTTAGTCAACGAACACGAAATATTTATGAGAATAATGAAAGTGAAACTCGTTTGGAACCAATTGTACTTAATCGAAATCTTCCAACACATCGAACGCAAACACTTAATTTAATTCGACCAGATTCAATGATTGAACCTGTTTGTTTTTCATTAGAGAAAATATATATTTTTACAATAAAAAAATTTTCTTTTCTATTTTTAGGAACCAGTACCAAAAAGTCTTAATGAACTTGATCAGCTTCTTGATGCACTTAGTAAAGCTAAAGAAACAATAAGAAAAGATACACAAAGTATATTTCAAGAATTATTTATCAAAAAAAATCTAATTTTTTTGTTTTCGTAGATCAAATATCACGCACAGCAAATTCTACGCCAACGAAATCAATTTCTAATATTGATGACTCATCGAGAAAAAACGCAAAATCAATTGATGATCTTATCGAAACTTTGAATGATACAACTGAAACAATAAAATCTAATTCGAAAAAAAAGTATTAAAATACGCCCATTAGTATTTTTGTTTTGTTAAAATTCAATCTCATAGATCATCATCGACAAAACATTCATCGAAAAAATCACCAGCAACGAAAGAATTAGAAGATCTTATGGAATCATTGAGTAATTTTAAATTACCACCACAGGTTTATTAGTTTTAGAAACAAATTTTAAGCTAATTTTTAAATTTAATAGACAACATCGCCATCAACCCATGTTCCACCATGTTTATCACCATCTTCTGAACAATTACCATCATTGAAGGAGACGTCTCCTGTACCACAACAATATCCATTGTGTCATTCTTGCCAACAACCAATTATTGGACAGGTAGTTATCTTAAAAAAATTATATAGAGATACTTAAAATTTTTCGATATACATTTCTAGAAAAAAACTAAGTATGTAATTTATCGATTAATGGTTCTCAGGTTTCTTTTTTTAATTGCGCTATGCTATTACTAATTATTATATTATAAAATCTATTATAATTTTTTTTGTTTTTGTTTATATAGATTATTACAGTACTTGATCGTTCGTATCATCCTGAACATTTACGGTGTACTGCATGTAATATTGAAATTGGTCGAAAAGATTTTTATGAAAAATCTGGTAAACCATATTGTGAACATGATTATCGACGTTTATTTGCACCGAAATGTACTCGTTGTGATCAACCAATCATTGATGTAAATTAAATCGAATTTTTATTTTTTTACTTAAATTTATTAGTTTTGTTGGATTTGAAAAGGTTATGATTACAGCTTTAAATCGTAATTGGCATCCAGAACATTTTCTATGTGAATTATGTCAACGACGAGTTGGTGAAGATGGTTATCATGAAAAAGATGGCCATGCTTATTGTCGGTATGTTAGATATTTTTTTTAGTTAAACGAAGAAAAACAATTCGTTGTTTTTCAGAGAATGTTATATGAATAATTTTGTTCCAAAGTGTCTCGGTTGTAAACAAACTATTGTTGATACATATATTCAAGCGCTCGGTGGTCATTATCATAAAACTTGCTTTGTTTGTCAAGTAAATATTAACGCTTTATGTTTCAGAAATCGAGAATCATCCTAAACAATAACTATTCTACTTCATAAATCGATATTGATCCTTGTTAATAAATTTAGGAATGTTCTCAACCATTTCTGACTGGTTCATTTTATGAACATGATCATCAGCCCTTATGTGAATTACATTACCATCAACGACGTGGTTCCCTTTGTTCATCTTGCCAAAAACCTATAGGGTTTGTTTTATTTCTTTTTATTAAAAAAGCTTATCTTTGTTTTTCTTCTAGTGGTCGTTGTATAACAGCAATGGGTCGTAAATATCATGTTGAACATTTTATTTGTTCTTATTGTACTCGTCAATTACAAAATGGAACATTTAAAGAATATCAAAATAAACCATATTGTCATCCTTGTTTTTTAAAATTGTTTGCTTGAACAGTCTTTCAATATAGATAGTGTATCAAAAAATTAAATATTAAATAAAATAATCTGAGAGAATTATATAGAAATGACGTATTGTTTTTGTTTTTCAGATAAAAGTAATTTCTTTCATCATTAACACAAAATGCAACCAATGATTATTATTCTTAAAGATGGTACTGATTCTTCACAAGGAAAATCACAAGTATTATCAAATATTAGTGCATGTCAAGCTGTCACCGAAGCAATTCGTACAACATTAGGTCCACGTGGTATGGATAAATTAATTGTTGACGGTCGTGGTAAAGCAACAATTTCAAATGATGGTGCAACCATTCTTAAATTACTTGAAATTATTCATCCAGCAGCACGTACACTTGTTGATATAGCTAAATCACAAGATGCTGAAGTTGGTGATGGTACTACATCTGTTGTTTTATTAACTGGTGAAATATTAAAGAATGCAAGAACATTTATTGAAGATGGTATGCATCCAACAATTATTATTCGTGCTATACGTAAAGCAACAGCATTAGCAACAAAAAAAGTCAAAGAAATTGCTGTTCATATTAAAATGGATAATATTAAAGAACAACGAGCATTACTTGAAAAATGTGCTCGAACAACATTAAGTTCAAAATTAATTGCACGACAACGAGATTTTTTTTCAAAAATGGTTGTTGATAGTGTTCTTATGTTAGATGAATTACTTCCATTGAATATGTATGTTTAAATACATATTTTTTGATAAACAAAATATTTTACTCTCTCTCTCTCTCTCTCTTATTAGGATTGGAATGAAAAAAGTAACCGGTGGATCACTTGAAGTATATATTTTAATTTAATTCTTTTTTTCTGCTAGAAAACATTATTTTCTACTTTTATAGGAATCACGTCTTGTTGCTGGTGTTGCATTTAAAAAAACATTTTCATATGCTGGTTTTGAAATGCAACAGAAAAAATATTTAAAACCAAAAATAGCTTTACTTAATATTGAACTTGAACTTAAAGCTGAACGTGACAATGCAGAAATTCGTCTCGACAACGTTGCTGTAAGATTTTTGTTTCAAAAATTTATTTTTCTAATTTTAATTTAAAAACTATTGATTTATAGGAATATCAAAAAATTGTTGATGCTGAATGGTCAATTCTTTATAATAAACTTGAAAAACTTCATGCATCCGGTGTTAATGTTGTACTTTCAAAGTTACCAATTGGTGATGTTGCTACACAATATTTTGCTGATCGGTAAAATATTTTTTTTTTAAATCATTTTCTTTTACGAAAACATTTTCGAATGTTTTTAGAGATATGTTTTGTGCTGGTCGTGTACAAGAAGATGATCTTAGACGTACACAAAAAGCATGTGGTGGTGCAATAATAACAACAATTGAAAATCTTGATGATAAAGTTCAACAAGTATTTGGTACCTGTGAACTCTTCGAAGAAACACAAATTGGTTCTGAACGTTATAATTTTTTTACCGGTTGTCCAAAAGCTAAAACAGCAACAATGATTTTACGTGGTGGTGCTGATCAGTTTATTGATGAAGTTGAACGTTCGTTACATGATGCAATCATGATTGTACGACGTGCTGTTAAGAATGATTCGATTGTTGCTGGTGGTGGTGCAATTGAAATGGCATTAAGTCGTACTTTACGAGATTTTAGTCGAACTATACCAGGCAAAGAACAGTTAATTATTGCTGCATATGCCAAAGCATTCGAAGTTATACCAAGACAATTATGTGAAAATGCTGGGTTTGATGCAACAAATATTTTAAACAAACTTCGACAAAAACATGCTGAAAGTAAAATAATGATTTGATAAATTTCATTAATATTCTTTTTTTGTATTGTTTCGTAGATAATATTTGGTTTGGTGTTGATATCATGAACGAAGATGTTACTGATAATTTTATTGCAGCTGTTTGGGAACCAGCTGTCGTCAAAATTAATGCAATAACAGCAGCAAGTGAAGCCGCTTGTTTAATTTTAAGTGTTGATGAAACAATTAAAGTACCAAAATCATCGGCTGAACCATCGAATGCTGCTAAAGCCATGAATATGGTTTAGTCATAGATGAAAGAATGATGGTGACTCTTGTTATCCTTGTTATAATTGTTATACGGTTTATTAGTCATTTGGTTTTTTTCTAGGCAACTGTGTGTGATGTGTGTTTTTTTCCCACCTCTTTTTTTCGAGCTACAGCTTCACATATTACACATAAAACCAAACGCATGAGCGTCTAATGTTTACGTTTTTTTATTAACAAAAATATAACCGAACAAAAAATAAGACTTTTCAAAACAATTAAAAATATTCTTTTAATTCGAAGAAACACCTGCAAATGACGTCAGATTGTTTTTTCTTATCTCATTATCAGATAAATATCCTCTTACATCATTTTATCAAGATTCGAAAGCAATATAGTATTTTACAAAAAAAAGGGACTTTTTTCTAGAATACACTATAGCTATGTCAGTATGTCTGTCTCATATAAATGAATATTCATTGACATGTTGTTCATCGATTCATGATATTCCATCCGAGGTAAGTTACGATTTTGTTACAAATATATTATTAATTATATTTTATATAATTTAGATTAACGCTGCAACACATTCGGCTGTGTCTGATACTTGTCTACTTTTAGTAAATAATGGTGCTGATCGACTTTTCCTATTTGATCTTTCTTTATTGTCATTTCAACGAAATGATATTAGTTGGCCTAGTGATACATATGGTCTTATTCGAGATATCTGTTGGGCAAAATATATAAATTCATTCTTAATATTAGGTGAAGATGTTTTATGTTCATATTCTCCGATATCGAATCAATTAATAATCTTGTTAAATTCTCCTTCATTCAATGATCGTTTTTGGTCATTAGCTGTACTTGGTTGTGATACATATATTCTTTATCGATGTGATACTCTCTATCGATATTGTTTACCATCATGGGCATTAACTCGTTCATGGTCACGTACAGATTTAATTAATACCGAGAATAAAGACCAATTTATTGAACAAATTCGAGCAAATTCTTTTTCAGGTATTATTGCATTACTCATTCGATTGAAATATAATCGTCAATGGCGTATTGATTTATTTGATCGAACAATGCGAAAACTTTATTCAGGAGAATCTATACGTATGGGTTCAACTTATCCAATTATTATGCTTCAACCATATGGACAACATGGTCAATGGACTCTAATGAATGAAAATTATATTTGGATACTTAATGCAAAAGCTCGTTTTATTGAACGTTATTTTCGACAATTAAAAGAAAAAATGATTCAATAAAATTTATATATTTAATAAAGGTTAATCAAATTTATTTATTTTTTTGTTCTATGATGTACATTATTCTGAGATATTCCGCTCTATTTTATGTAAACATAATTTATGATAATGAAATTTTCTTTTTAGAAAGTAACTAACGATCAGAAAAATAGAATGACAATGAAAATAAGTACAATTTACTTTGATTTTTATTATCTGATGACTTTCATAATATATTTTTCTTGTTCTTTTCAATTTTTTTTTGAATAAATATTATTGATGAAAAAAGTATATTTTATTCAGAATAGTCTATGATTAAAGAAAAATAATTTCATAATTTAACGATTGATGTTCTATATTAAAAGTATATAATTTTTATAAAAAATCTTCAATACATTCGATGATTTACTGACTATAAGTATAGTGAGAGCACTAAGCACATGAACATCTGTTTTCAATGATTGAGTACGATCGACATAAACTATACTTATCAGTACTTAGTCAATATTGATCATACTGATATTGATGTTCAATAAAGTATTGAGATATTAACCTTATCAAAATATTCGTTCTTTATGCTTTTACTTATATTCGTCAATGAAGAATATAACTATTTTGATAGATTAAATATTCTAGTATTAATGAAATTTTGACATAGAAATACAGTCTTAAGCCCAAGATATTTATACTTTTTGATCATATAATTTTTTCATTATCAGTTGTGTCTTTCATAAAAACAAACGATAGAAGAAGCTCACGTACGAACGCTATTATGATGAAATAATAAAAGAAAACATCAGATTTCCGTTATTTATTCATTTGAATATTATATACCATAACGTTTTAATGAAGTTTTTCTTTCAATAACATATTCAATAGTTATATATATATATATATAGCAAAGAAAATATGACATAAAAAGTAAACGGAAGAATAATAAGCTTATTTTTCATTTATATTCAAAGGTATAAGAGACGTTTAAGAAAATAAAAGAGAAAGAGATGGAAAAATAGTTTTTAGTAATAAATCGATTAGACTTGTTTTATATCGTTACTAAAAGCTAAAACAACAGCTAATTGCCTATTAAAAATGTTCATGAAAACTATGGTTTAAAATGGCATGATTGTTACCGTTAATTCAACACAAAGAAAAGAAAAAATTTATTTTAAGCCTTTTTTTTCTCTTGTTGTATTTTATATCTTTATATGTTTGTTTTTGTTTCTTTTCTGTCTCAACTTTGTGTAATTCTTTTTACTGCTCACACACACACACATATATATAAGACACGAGTAAATTGTACTCGCTCTTCTCAACGTCTGCGAGTCGAATAAGAAAGAAGAAAAAAAA